AAAAATTTTTTTTAAATGTTTTTATTTATTTTTGAGACAGAGAGAGACAGAGCATGAGCAGGGGAGGGGCAGAGAGAGAGGGAGACCCAGAATCCAAAGCAGGCTCCGGTCTCTGAGCTGTCAGCACAGAGCCCGACGTGGGGCTCGAACTCACAGACCGCGAGATCGTGACCTGAGCTGAAGTCGGAAGCTTAACCGACTGAGCCACCCAGGCGCCCCTAGAATTATTTTTAAAGGGGGTGGGGGAAGGGAGCGCTTTTCTTCTTTAGACTTTGGAAGTATTTAAAATTTTTTGATAAAATTTATCACTTTGATTTTTCACGAGAGGGCTGTTTTGATACGTTGATTTTTCTTTAGTCGTAAGTGGTAAGCTTTGAAAATCTGTGGGGGTTTTTGCAGGGTAGTTCTCTGTCTTTGCCTTGTACTTCTCGGTCCCTGGTGGCCAGAGGACATCAGCCATTAAGGGATGACACAGTTAAGAAGCTGGGCGGCTGACGCATGTGGCTCAGTGGCTCGGCCATTGCCTCTTGAGTTCAAAGGGCAAGCGTTCCCGATTTGACAAAGAGGAGCTTCTGGGTGTGTGTTTTCTGCAGAAAAATTGGACAGACTATTGAATTAGAATAATTAGAATTCTATGTAGAATTCTCTGTATCAACTTTTAAACGGTTACCTTGGGCAAATGCCAGTCTATCTGGACTTCATTTTCCTCCTCTGTAAAATGAGACCACTGACGTCCAGGTCTCCAAAGAGGCTTCTAAGTCTAAAATTTAGTCTACAGTCTAATCTGAAACGATCCTGCAAAAAGGCAGTTGTGTGTATAACCGCTGTTTGAAATGTGAGTTTCTTGAACATGACTTCACAGGGCAAAGATGTCAGAAAGCATGTTTATAAAATGTCAAAGAGGAGGAGCGAGAGGGAAATATTTCATTGTTGTTTACAAACAGCTTGGTTAACAAGTTTTCACCTTTCCCGAATACATTAGATTTGGGGGGAGGAAAGAACAAAACTCATATTCAAACCAAGGTTCAAAAAGTTTTTTGTTTTTTTTAACAGTGATTAGCTTCTCTCTTTCATCCACTAAATTTGAGTTCCCCAAGTCTTATTCTGGCTCCACCACCTTCCACCACCCAAGGAATATTTCTTGAATGCATGGATTATTAATTGAATGATGAAATCCCCACTGTAGTTGGTTACACGTTGTGGCCGACTACGAGAAAGTAAGACTTCTTCAATTTGTACTCTTTCTAGCCTCAACTGTCCCATCACCTACTATCCACGTATGGTATGTTGAAGAAAGAAAAAAAAATCAGTTACCAAAAAAAAAAAAAAAAAAATTCTTCCTCTTAGCCTGTTCCCTCACTAAACTCCCATAAAAAGAAAAGCAAACTACTATATTTTAGTGGAATGATTTTTTGAAGTTTTACAAACATAAATAATCTTTCTTTTTAAAAATTTTTTAAGTTTATGTATTTTGAGAGAGGGAATGTGTACACAAGTGGGGGAGGGGCAGAGAGAGAGAGAGACAGACAGACAGAGAGAAGAGAGAGAATCTCAAGCAGGCTCCGCACTGTCAGCACACAGCCCGATGTGGGGCTTGAACTCATGAACTGTGAGATCATGACCTGAGCCGAAACCAAGAGTTGGACACTTAACTGAGCCACCCGGGCGCCCCAATAATCTTTATTTCTATAAAGCCATTCTACTTGTACAATAAAACCACTGAATGGATCATAGCAGGAATTTGGGGTGATCTTTTCCCCATTTGCAAAGAGCCATATCTAAAGCAACAACAAAGCACAGCAACAACCAAAAGAAAAGAAAGTTTGGGGGTTTTGTGTGTGGGTAGGTGGGTAGGTGTGGGTGTGAGTGTGGATATTGTGATGAAGGAGGAATGGAATTTTAAGACATAATTATTTGTATATATTCTGAAGCAACTCCTGGGTTTAATACCAACTTCTACAGTAGTAAGTTTCAGTGTTAGTTGTTTTAAATCTGATAATGTTTTATACGTGGAGGAGTTTAAAACCTGGGTTTCAGTTTATGAATAGAAAAAAAAAAGAAGTCAAACCACTTTTCTTGGGTGTCAGTCTTCTTAACTACGACATGAGGTCCGAGTAGGTGATGTGTAAGGTTCTTTATGCACCAAACATTCGCTGATTGTGTAAATCAGCCAATCAGTCTGATGCCAGCACTGGCTTTCCAGGTTGACTCCAGAGTGGCACATTTCTCTACCTCTCTAAATTCATCTGTCCTACACTCTCATTCATTCCCTTCTGTTTAGCGCTTCAAAACAAGAATGATTTTTCAACTTTCCCCCTTTTTATCTCGTATTATGAAGCACATTTAGAATCACAAGCAAATTGGATATGTTGCCAATTTATTTTTACAGGCATGGGCAGTGCATTTTGTTTTTTGGCTTTCTCGTTTGCTTGTTTTTTTGGTGTTTGGTTTTGTTTTCTGTTTTTTGTTTTTGGACATACGAGGGACTGAGTTTTAGGAGATGAGATAGCAGAGGGCAGCAGGTGCGTGGCGAGAGCCCCAGGTTGCTCTGTGGTCCCGTGTGCATGGGAGCATTCAGCAGTTTTCACGTGGGACGCAGTCCGCCAGCCTCACTCCCCTAAGTGTGAAATGA